GTGTTGCCAGGAAACATCTACACTTGATCTCTTCCGGGTACGCGTACATGACCACGTTAGCCCCGAAGCGGGCGAGGTGGTCCTGGGGATCAGTCGTCCCGTTGTACGCCTTGATTTGGGGAGTTTTGAAATTATCCGGGAGAGGACAAGACATTATCCTCCTGGAGAAGGGTGTTACCTCGCTGAAGACCGCCTGGCGGTAGGGGTTCTGGGCGTCCAGCCGCTTCTCCAGTTGCTCGTACATTCTCCACAGCTCGGCTGCGCCTTTGCCTTCGACCGTCGTCCGTCGCTCCTCGGGATCGATCTTGGAGGTCGCTGTGGACTCCCCCCTTTTCTCCTTGAGCGCATCCCTCAAGTCGCCCTTTCGGGCCGACCGAGTGTCCTGCAACCGTTCGAACGCAGAGGTCCGAGGCTTCTTTGACTTGGGGTCTCCCAAACGGTCAAAGGCAGACATCCGCTCAAAGGAGGACGACTCGTCCTCTTCGTCCAACCTGGAAAGCGCATCCGCGATCACAGCTTTCCCATTAGGCTTGGTCGCCTTACTTTCTTCTTTTTCCCTTGGGAGCCCGCGAGTCCAGCCTTCCCGCCTGTGGGTCCCCCAGCCACTTCTTCTACCACAACCTCGCGGTTGGGTGCAAGTGCGGCCAGCACCTCTTTGAATTGTTCGGCCGTGATTCCAACCCTCTGAATGAGGGCCTCAGCCTCTCCGGTGGTGATGGGAGGGTTCCGACCTCCAGTGGTGCTGTTCTCCCCATGTTGGGGAACTCCGGTACCCACATTGGCGTTACTGCGTGTTTGCACCATCGTCTTAATGGAGGGTTTCCTCTGAGTATGATTCTCGAACTCTCAATGAGAGCACCAATTTGATGGACAATAAATCCACCAAATGATCCGATTCACGAAGCGGATCGTAAGAACAAAATTTAGAACGAGAATTCGAGAATTGGGTATGTATTATTAGCTTGATCTAGCTTGAATTTCCTCCTTTTGGGTCTCATCTATTTATACCTGAGCTACATGCACTTAAGGGTAACGCATAATCGATGGAGTCTATCCCGTTAAGGGCGCGATCCCCTTTTTCCGGCTCTGTAACGGCCAATTTGCTCCGTCTCCTTCTCCGTAACCGGCTCTGCCAGCTATGTTTGGTCTAAAGTCAACCGGGCCTGGCTCCATGGGCCGGCCCAGACCTGGGTATTCTCCGAGTGTCTGACCCGAAGTGGTGTAAATGGTTCAGTTGGGCCGCCCACTGNGAATTGGGTATGTATTATTAGCTTGATCTAGCTTGAATTTCCTCCTTTTGGGTCTCATCTATTTATACCTGAGCTACATGCACTTAAGGGTAACGCATAATCGATGGAGTCTATCCCGTTAAGGGCGCGATCCCCTTTTTCCGGCTCTGTAACGGCCAATTTGCTCCGTCTCCTTCTCCGTAACCGGCTCTGCCAGCTATGTTTGGTCTAAAGTCAACCGGGCCTGGCTCCATGGGCCGGCCCAGACCTGGGTATTCTCCGAGTGTCTGACCCGAAGTGGTGTAAATGGTTCAGTTGGGCCGCCCACTGGGTTTCGGCCCATCAATTACCTTTTATACCATACCTTACACGCATGAGTGGAAAATGAATGGGAAAATTCCCCTCTTTTAAAATATAGTGTAGATACTCATTATTAAATTACCATGTATACTGTGTATTATTATTATTACTTTATTACCGTGTATAATTGTTGGCAAAGGCTATGCTTTTCAGTAAATTACTATCTTTATGCAACACGGTAATATATGATTTAATTACCATCTATATTCAACATTAAGCCATGACTAATTACTATTTCTATATTCAACAATAACCTTTTACACCTTACGGGTGGGGAAATGAATGAGAAAGTTCTCCTCTTTTTAAATATAGTATAGATTACCATTTCTATATTCAACAATTTTCTTTTATACCTTACACGCATGGACGGGAAAATGAATGGAAAAGTTCCCTTCTTTTTAAATATAGGATAGATTATATTTTGGTGTATTTTTTAGACTAGTTTATCGTTTTTGCCCGGCTAAAAACGATATACGGGTCGATAATTTACACCATCAGGGGACAAGGGTGAGGCTGGGGTGGAGGTTTAGGGGCTTACACTATATATATATATACGGAGTATATATATATATATATATATATATATATATATATATATATATATATATATATATATATATATATATATATATAAACTGGAGCGGGTGTGAATGTGCGATATCATGTGGGCCGTCACAAACGAAAATCACGTCTCTCTCCGCCATATATGTAAAGTATGTGCGGCGGCGATGGGGACGATTGGCCATGTCTCCATCAACGTTTCCACCAAAGGTTTTGGCGTCTTTAATATAATGTTACGCTCATCTATATAACGGCGACTGTTACCTAAATCCAAAGATTCATAGAGAGAGAGACAGAGCGAGACGATCTGAGCGAGTGTAAATGATCTGGAATTTTCAGATCTGAACTGAATTCTGATGGAAGCGGATCGGAAAATGTGTTCCGGAGCTGCGGAGACAATAATTGCGATGCGATTAGAAGGAAACTGCAGCGAGAATTCTGTTGCCGGAGAAGTGGCGGCGAAGGCGCCGGGAGAAGACAGATTCTCGTGCTCTGTAATTGACGTGGACCGCGGCGGAGATGAGGAAATCCGAACGGCGTGCTGCCGAATATGCCAATTGAGCGTAAGAGACGATTCGAACCAGAAGAATCTCAGAGATTTGATCGAGCTTGGCTGCGGCTGTAAGGGAGATCTCCGTTTCTCCCATCTCCGGTGTGCTGAGGCCTGGTTTCTGCTCAGGGGAAACCGGTATGATTCAACATAACTTTTAGATTCAACATTTTTCAAAATTAATCTAGGAACATTTTCACCACCTTGACTATGAATAATCTTGCAGATTTTGCGAGATATGCGGGGAGATTGCGAAAAATGTTACTCGTGTTGGGAACGGAAGTTTCATGGAGGAGTGGAGCGGCGGAAGATCATCCGGCGAGAGGCCCGGAGATTGCCGGGAACGGCAGCCGTTCTGCAACTTCCTGATGGGATGCCTGGTTCTGGCTTTTGTTCTTCCCTGGTTTTTCCGGTTGAATTTCTAGGACCAGATTTGGTTTTTTTTTGGGTGGTTTTGAGCATTGTTTACCCTTCATTTGAATTGATTCGGTTCCCAAACAGAGCAATCCTAACCATTTTTTGTGAAAATCAATCTCACTTTTATCTGGCTACTATTTAACAATTATCCAAAATATTTGAACTAAAAAGAGTAATTTTAAAAAGGAGATCCAATGTTGTAGATTCCTTATTTTGTTGATAGTAACATTTCTTATATGTGGATAAAGTTGAAATCTTGATAAAAAATTATAGAGAAATATACGGAGTACATTTATTTGTTCTCAATACCTAGAGCCCTAGAGCATCTACATTATATTTGCATTTACAAGTTACATACTCCTATCTCATTATAATCTTTCCTGTTTGACGTGTTTGACTTGACACAATTTTTAATAAAGTGAATATATAATTGTGTTTGTGTAGAGAATAGAGAAATGATATAGATGAGTAAGAGACACAAATTTTTTTACCTTAAGAGGAAATAGAAATAAATTTTGGAATATCCAAAAAACAGAAAGATAATTATTGAAGGAACTAGATAATAAAAATATTCATAACATATGGATAAAGGTTTATCGCCTTTAGATAAAATTTGTATTTGATATTGGTGAACAAAGCATGTCATTAGATTTATCTTTTAGAAAATTAGTAAAAACTTATTTCATTACTCTGTATACTATGTCAGTATATTATATATAATTGATGATTAAAATTTTTCTATTTTAACGCAAAAAAAGTTATAGTAAATGAATATTCTAAAATGGTGGAGTTAGTATTAAAAAAAATCTTGGTGAATCTCAAGTTACACCTTATCTTTAATCTTAATGCCTTCACAAGCCCCATAATAGACATAAAACAATATTTTATATTTGAAATGTCTCTAAGATATTGAGGTCAAAAGATGGGATGCAATTTAGGCTTCAAGAAAACGCCAAAATGTTAAAGGGAATAGAAATAATGATGAGAGCAGAAGGTTCATGCACCAATGGGCAGGCAATGAAGACGATTTAGAAGATTCTAAATCCAGAAGGGCATAGGGCTTTCATAGTCAATCAAATTGATAAGCTTTCTATCACCAAAACAGACACCTTTATTGCCAAATTTAGCTTAAACATTAATCCGGCATTTCCCCTCCCAAAACACGTGGCTAAAATATGCCCGTACCTTTTGAAATAGATTAAAAATTCAAGGGCAGGTGTCTGTTTCACACTACATTATTATTGCAACTACGGTGTTCTCTTCATAAAATTGATGTTTCATATCCTTTAACATATACTCGCTAAATCCATAGTCACTATGAATAGTAACGAAAAAATGATAGAGCGTAGACCGTTGCTTAATTCATCCTCAAGCCCAAAAAGCAACGGAAGAATTAATTTGGAGACGAAATATTTCCGTCCTCTATTAAGCAGATTTTTGTAGTGTCATAAAAATAGATAAAAAAGAAATCCTAATTAGAATAATTGAAAAACGAGACTTCGGCACCAGAAATTATGTCGTATCCAAAATAGTCCATTGACACTAAAATAGTCAGAGAATAGTTCCTATTGGCTATTGTATTAAATATATCCATTCACATGAATATGCCATATATTTTTAATAGATTATGTCAAAACATTTAACATTTAAAAAGGAACTAACTTTTTAATGGACAAAAAGAGAAAGTAAATGGATTTCTAGCAATTGAGGATCACTTATATGGCCTTGTCCTCTGGTATCTATCTACTCTCTCCAGTCCGCATGCAGAGCTCTAGCCATGAATGCATACCTGTCTGCAGCCATGTCAATCTGTCACCATAACCAAAGTTACCTTTAGCTTACCAATACAAATGGCCAAACAGAAGAGGGATGAACTTGAGATATGAATAAGCTACATGTCTTAAGGTTTTTTATTTTTTACCATTTTTTGTGTCGAACACCCGCACCCATGGCCCGCATTTCGCTCAATGCGGCCCACAATGGGGTTTCTTTGCATCAGCGCCGCACACTTCGCATCAGTTCTCCTCATGCATAACACATGTTGCAATGTCTACACGCATTATTGGGGATCGTAAAGATTCGATACGAAACGAAGGTAGTAGTAAATAATGCAGAGTACTAATTATCCTTAGTCTATGTTATTACCGCTAGGAACTTCAACGTGTGTGAGGGCACGACGCGATCATCGTGATCGGCGCTCAATAACATGGTGGATGGGTATTGCGACGCTAGACATGGAGTTTGTTCCCAAGGTCTTCTCACATTATGCAACGGCGAATATCTGAATCAAACCCAGAGAAAAACACATTATTATTATTATTATTATGATAAAATTACTTCGTCCTCATTTTCTTCTAGCTTTTTGGGAGTGTTAGAATATAAATTAATGTTCCTGGGCCACAACCACAAGCTTGAGCTTATGGTTGAATTGGTTCCTTGACATGATATCAGAGCCTCGTTGACTAAGAGGTCACGGGTTCAAAACTCAGCGCCACCCAGTTTAAAAAAATTAAGGTTTCACGTGCAAGGCTCGAAATAAAACTACGCCTGCACGTGAGGGGCGTGTTAGAATATATGAAACATTTCCTGGGCCACAACTACAAGCTTGAGCTTATGGTTGAATTGGTTCCTTGACAGTGAGTTTAGACTAAATCAATCTGTTGTCGGTTTCCCAGTTCGACCGGTTCCTATTTAAAAACCGAGTTCTTTGTAAAAGATTTCTGAAATCCAAATTCTCAGCTCACTTGATCAGCCAATGGAACTCTTCCTCCTTGTCCGAACATCCAAACTCAGAGGTCCATGCATGGCCTTCAAGACAAAATGGAATTCTGATAACATTATGGTATTAACAAGAACCAAAGAAAGGCAAATTGACACTTCTATAGCCAAAAAAAGAAACTAACCAATGGTGAACTTGTGAAATCTAAGCATGTCGGTGACGCCAACGTGGATGAGAGCGCAACCAAATAGATCAGGTCTCTAAGAAATCATCAAAAACCAGTATAATGAAACTATAAAATTCTTGAATTCACAAAGGTAAAAAAACAAAAACAAATATAATAATGACCTGATTGATACATGCTGCCATGACAAGTCCACCATTGCTTTCACCTTCAATGCACAACTTGGTTGGTTGAGTGAAACCAGCCTGAACCAAATACTCAGCTGCAGAAATGAAATCATTGAGGCAATTCTGCTTGTTGCCAAGGGCGCCCGCCTTGTGCCACTCCTCACCGTACTCTCCCCCTCCCCTTATATTCGCAGAGCAGAAGACAACCCCTAAATGTTTTGCCAACACCAGTTGCGCTGCAGAGAAACACGGCGTGAGGCTGGTGCTAAACCCTCCGTACCCGTAGAGCAAACAAGGGCTCGAACCGTCCATGGGGATACCCTTTGGAGAAACTATGAACATGGGTATCTTAACTCTATCATCATCTCTGCTTGGCACAAACACCTGATTTACATTGAAACCAGAAGGATCAAAGCCTGGGACAGTAACTTCGCGGAACGTTTTCATCTCTAGGACCTCATTTTGGAGGTTGATCTCATATATGGTTTGAGGGGTTAGGAAGTTGGTAAAACCAATAAACGCAGAACTGTCCCTGCGAAGCGCTGAGATCCCACAAACTCTTCCAATTCCTATTGGGAGATTGTGTTCAAATTTACCCGTTTTCAAATCTCTCAGCTGCAAAACGTTCTTCGCGTCTCTTAAATACTTCACAACCAGTTTGTCATGGTTCACAGCCACTGCACATTGGAGCACGTCCTTTTCGTCCTCACGGACAACATCGGACCAAGAAGCACCCCTAGGCTCTACTCTAACATCCACTCTGGCTAACTTGTACCTTGGAGCATTCTTGTTTGTGTGGAAGGTGAAAATGGTTTCGTCATTCGCAACGAAATCATAAGATGCATCAAAACCGTCGACCAGCTTCGTAAACGGGAGACCACCCGTTGTCCCTCTATAACCTTCGAGCCCGTTTGGAAGAGCAGACAACTCACACACATGAACTTTGTTGGCCGGGTCGCAATTCTCCATTATATACAAAACAACATACTGCAGGAGATTGATGAGTTATTTAGGTTCTGTTCTCTTCGACTTAATTTTATTATTTACTCGGGATTACTTATTCTTATTAGAACTAGATTTTGATAAAATCTGATCAGAGTCAATCAGATTAGATGAAGAGAACAGTTTCATAGAATCTCTAAATAGCACACAATATATACCTTCCCATCGTCTGTAACTGAGGCGGAAACCATATGTTTAGGATTGTCGGAATCTTTCCAGCATAGGATATCTTCGGATTGGTGTGTGCCCAAGAAATGATAATACAATTGATGGTTTAGATTGACGCCATCCACATTATTGTTGTTTCCTCCACCCCTACCCATTTGAAGCTATTATGATTCCAAGGAAACTCAAGTATGTAAAGATTATTTAAGCTAAAAAGAGTAAAATAATACAAATATCACAAAAGTATTTAAAAAAAAAAATTATTTTTAAATACATAACTCATCAAACAAAGAAAAGGTTTCTGATATCGGAAAATATCATAACTCATATCTCTTGCACTCACGGGGCATAAATTCACAAGAAAGAGTGTAATTTGTTCAAGTTAACATAAGACTATAAGAGTATACTCTGTAAGAGGATCTGGGTATCGGCTGTAGAAAAATCCTTTACAGTCTTTTGTCCAGCTAAGACCAGAAAACTTGACCTGCAGTAAAATGAAACAAAGCCTCTTCTTTAGTTTTACTCCCTACTATTTAAAATACGGAGTAGAAATATAAAATAATAAAAAACCAAATAAAACAAATTCTTAAAAGAAAGAAATTAAAAAAGGGAAATGAATCAGGTTATTATATATACCCAGGAGAGAGTATCAGGCTCCAAAGTCCTCTTATCATCAACAGCCTTGACTCTTATAGTCACCCAATCACTCCCCTTAGAAGTAAGGCCATAAGCCAAGAACTTAGCATCCTCACTCACACTCCACATTCTCAGCGCCACGCTCCCATCTTGGCTCACCTCGTTCGGGTCTACCAAAACCTCCCCTTCTTCTCCATCCCCCAACCCGTCTTCGTTGACGCAGTAAAGGACACCCTGGGGTTGGAGCCCGGTGTTGTGCAAGTAAAAGTACTTGCCCGTGCCGGCCCTGAAAGGAATGCCGTACTTTGGGTAATCGAAGATTTGCGTCAGCTTTCTCTTCAGTTTGTGTCTGGTATCGCCGCACCAGGTGCTCAGTACCGTGGTTGTCAGCTCCCCCTGCTTCTCCACGAATTCCTTCGTCTCGTCTGAGTCGGGATTCTCAAGCCTGCTTGTAATTATGGGATACTGGTTATGAAACTAACTTAACCAAAAGTTTATACTTATCAGCAGCTTATATGCATAGAGAAATACGTCATCAGTTAATTTATGAGTTAAAAATAACTTATAAACAGTTTAGTATATGCATTATAAGCATAGATAAACACTCACTAACTCAATCAAAAGTTCAAACTGAAAGCAATTTTACTATACCATCGGTACGGGTCGGAAATAAGAACGCCATGGTAATTGTCGATGACGGAATCGTCCCGGCGAGCTGAAGGGTAGCCGAGGAGGGGCTGGCTAATGGAGCTAAAGAAACCCATTCTCTGTTATGTGGCGTGCACAAGATGAGACATTTTTAGTTCAAGTTATATATGGTGGGGTTGATTAAAATAAAGAAACCCATCAAATGAATGAAAATAAAAATAAAAGTGAAGCTATATATAGGCAGTACTTTCGGCTATTAGTATTAGGTTGGTCTTTTAGTCATGTACTCCATATCTCCAACTTTCTTCTCATTTGGTTTTCTTACGAGCTCTAGTGTAATATTTTGACTATTAATGTATATATTTGCATATATTCATAGATTATAAAAATATAATATTTCAAAAATACGTGTTCAAATGAATCTATCGGAAATAAATTATTTCACAATTGAATATATTTTTACCACAATTCATGGTTAAATTTTAAAGAATTAAACGTAAAAAATCAAAATGGAAAGAGAGATATGAGACGTAAAGAGTAATTACTTGAAGTTGAAAATTGTTAGTTTGTTACCATGTGTTTGCTTGACTCTTAAGCATGATTTTTACTTTATAAACAAGAGCATGAGAAATTCTCCACCCACGATATCACAATATTTTGTGGGTCCTTCAAGGAAAATTATACACAAAAATACCAATCACCATGAGATTCAGAGGCCCTTTGAAAGTGTGTAATCACATTTGAATTCGTGTGTGGAAGAAGTCTATTTGAGAGTGGTATATAACCATAAGAGCAACCTAGAGGCCTCAGGAGCAAGGGTGGTAGGGTAGTGTTTGGAAGGTTAGAGGGTATGAATCATCAATTTTACTAATAGAACTATGCAGAGGCTTCAACTAAGATCTAAATAGTACTAGTCAAAAGAACTATCTTGTTTTTTGATATATTTTCTTGATATCTTCAAATAGTAAAAATGTATTTAGTCTAACAATAAATGAGTTGTGCTATTGCTGTCATAAGACTCATATTTAAAATGTAGATCTTTTCTCATATTTGTTGACACCAAAATTGAATTTTTTCTTTTACAAAGTCTATTACAGATAATTATTTACACGTAAATACCAATAGAGTGAGAACATCATGATGTTATAGAATGGGGTCACATGACAACATCATGGACTCACGGTGTTAATGTTGATTTCGTGCCTCTTAGACTAATAGTTTGACTTTCACGTTTATGTTTAATTTTAATTCTTGATATTTTTTGGAAAAATTATCTCGAATATTCCTACGCTCTTTCAAAAATAATTTCACTTTTCAGGGTCACTGGAAATAATTTCACATTTCTGTATGTGCGCAAGTTTTAGATCGTCGTTAAAGACTAACGGCCACTTAACGGAATTTTCAGAAAATGCATGTTTTTCGCATATAAATGAAAAGCGGGATTATTTTAGGCAAACTTAAATTTTACTTTTTTAATTTTAAATTTAAAATTAAGATTTTTAAAAATATAAAAATACACCTTTGTTAGAGATTTGTCTAACGATTTATTTTATGTTCAAAGAAAATTGAATTATAAAAAATTATTCATAGTATTGATCAAGAAAGAAATTGGAATACAAAAAAATTAAAGTGAGTTAAAAAATTTACTATTGCCATTTCAGAAAAAAAATATTGTTCCATTTTTACAACTTTTAAATTACTATTTTGGGGAAAATTTTGTACTGAACTATCAAAATAATCACAAATTAGGTAGTTCCATTTTAGAAAGACATAATATAGGCAATAGAAAATTATCAATAAATATTTCGGAGTGTTGTTCCTGAAAAAATTGCAATACAACAAAAAATATAGTGAGTTAGAAAAATAAAAGTTTCATTTTAGAGAAAAATTGTTGTATTATTTTCACAATTATAGTAATATTGTTTTGCAAAAATATTTGTATAAAATTATCAAAAAATATTCATAAGTTTTGTAACACCATTTTTTAAGAAATAATACCCATATAGTATCAAAAACAATTCGAAGTGCAGCTTAAGAAAAACAATTGCAACTTATAAAAAAAAATATAGTGAGTTATGAAGTAAATAAATTGGCGCAGCTCTATTGTGTAGAATAATTTATTTTTGAATTATTACCAGATTGTCAATTATTGAAAAAAAACAATTAGTTTCACTCTTTGAAAAAATTAAATTTGGTACTCCCTATTATTCTTCAAAAAAAATTAAAAATACATTTAAATTTAAAATTAGAAATTAAAAAAAGAATTACCTAAAAGATAAACAAAATACTAATTTCATATAATACAAGTCAATTCCACTGGGTACGACTACTCCGTTTTATATGGAGCTAGTATTCCATTTAACTTTTAACATTTATTGTCAAAAGGGCCTCATCTGGAGAGCTGACGTGTATTTGAAGGACTACTTATGCACTTTTAAGATTTGAAGGACCAATCATGCATAACTCATAAAGTTGAAGGACTATTTATGGACTTTTAAAACTTGAAAGACCAATCGTGCACAATTGATAAAGTTGAAGGACCAATGGTGGAGTTTAGCCAAAGGAATTACCTGTGACCACTGCAAGAAATCAAGCCATCCAGCAAGCAAGTGTTACAGATTGGTTGGTTTCCCTAAAGATTTCACGTTCCCTAAAACTAAGAAAAATACAACACATAAAGGTATATATAGAAAAAACTAGTCTATCTAAGTTGGGCATATATTATCACCCGCAGTTTCAAAATTTTATTTTATTATATTCAGAGTGGGGTTTTGTTGACACTGGCCAACGGTGCCACTCCAATGCCAATATTTTTGGAGCATCTTCAGTGCTCGGTTTGCAAAATTGATAGTTCTTATCCCCCTAACCCCCTTCCGTTCCTCGCTCTCCGTCTTGACCCTTTCGGTGCTCGGTTGCCTCCATCTCCCGGCTTTACAGCCCTGCCCCTGCACGGTTGCATGGTTGGAAAGTTTTTCCCTTGCTTTATTTTTGTTTTGCACAAATTGTAATTAAAAAAAAAACTGATTTAATCTTGATTGATTCTGCAATGTTTCGGTCTTGCCCGACGCGATTGTTTCTGCAATGTCTAACCTCTAACCTCACCAATGTTTTCTGCAATATTAGTACATTTGAGGATCCCCTACATGCTTTGGTCTTGCCCTACAGGAATCGCATTTGGCATGGGGTACACCAGCATGTGTAGAAAACTGAATATTGCAGAAAGCATTGGTGAGGTTAGAAAGGAAGTAAACGGTCCATGGCATATTTGATTGTAAAAGTGTTCATTAACCTCTGCATCAGCTGACATCATTTCCTTCAACTCAAACTAGAAAGGATAGGATTAATAACAACATGAGATCATACCTCCACGTTACCAAAAATTATTTCTCGCCGACCACATGCTTCATTGTGTAGCTCATTGTAGTCCATGTAGCCACATTGTCCTGCGACTTCCTAAAAATTTGTGAACTTCTTCCTTGACCAGCTAGAAAGGTCTCCAAGGCCCAAATCTGTGAGGCGAATAAAAATCCAAGGAACGTGAAACAGTCTTTGGTACTAGTTTCTTCTATGGAGTATAAGAGAACACTTTGATGTGTCCTCTACCAAGTCATCCAAAATCTCATCCCCTACGAATACGCAATGAATTGCTCAATGTCAACAACCAAGTGCAAATATAGTGGGTAAAGTCTCATGCATTTCTGATTTTCAGTGACATAGTACCCAGAAGGAAAAAAAATACTCCTAGCTTCACTGTGTCTATCTCTTCTCTGTTTCTATTTCTCCTCAAACCTTCAAATGCCACTTTCACTTCTTCGTGCCACAACTTTTTTGCCTCCGAAGTAATGTTTACTGATGTCCACGGGTTCGATGTATTCTCTTTCACGGTCGGTTGCACTGCCAAATTTGAATCCCGTAACTGGAGCAAAATCTACATTTTTGACACTCAAAACCCCTTCAAGGATATGGAATGATATGCCATCAATATTCAACATACCGAAACCAAAATGTCGGTCGGTTTTAATCATTCAAGCACAAAACTAGTGACCAACCCATTAGCCAATTAAAGCAAAACCAATTAAACGAAACCGAAACCAAAATCTCAGTCGCTTTGATTTTCGAGCTTCATTTTTACAGTCGATTCAGTTAAAATGCTCGCTCCTAGCAACATTTGAAAACTAGATTCAAAAAATAGAAGATAACAACATAAGAAAAAGAGATTTGAAACAATAGAAGATAGCAAAAATTCAAAAAGAGATTCAACAAACAGACAAGATGCAATTACCATAGAATTGATGTCTAATGTAAAACTAAAAGCCATCTACTAAAACAAAAGAGCAGTTTTCATAAGAAAATAAATTGCACATGGGTATATACTATATTCATAAAATTGATGTCTTAAATATGAAATATGCAGCAAATCTGATAAATGCAAAGTATATACTATAAAATGCGAGATATGCAGCATATGTAAACATGTAGTTCGCAAATCTTAGACTTCGAAACTCATAAACGCAAATTTGTAAGCTCAATTGAATGCGGTAAAAATATTTAGATATGAATATGCTCAGTATATAAATATGGTGAATTTCTGTTTTATAACGAAAGAAAAAACAAATATACTGACCTCCTGCACAATGCAATACGGAACAGGGCAGATTAGAAATAGCTGTTGGATTCTGTTTCTTCTCCGGTGGCAGTGACTCTGAGCAGGGGCGACGGATTTGGTGTGCGGTGCTCTAAAAGCCATTGTCCCAGGCATCATCGTTTTCCAGATTTGGAAGGAGCGCGATAAAAGGATCTGAGAAGATCTGGACTTTTCCCTATCCTGGGCGGAGAATCTCCGAAGCCAGTGAGAATTACACCTCTATAATGTATAATTTGAGATACAACTAGTTTAATTCTTCATGAATTATACTCACTTGTCAAAAATTTATTTTACCATTATTTTCAATTCATACACGATAATCCATTTTGGCAAGTGGTGAGATTCAAAATGGTTGATTGTTTGTCCCCGCCGGTGAATGGCCCAGCACGTTCTGCTCAAGCTAAGCAAGCACCTCTAGCTCTAATAGGAAATCAGTCTGGCATTGAAGCTGGAACCAATCTTGGGACGAAGTGATCGAGAATCTATCGCCACCTGTTACCCACCAGTTATCCCAACTCATCCCCAACCATGTCAATTGTGGGGTGCAAGTATATCCTCAAGATAGCACAATGTTTACTTCCTCCGTCTCTAAATATTTGTCACATTTTTATTACCGAGTTAAAATATCAAGTTTTTTTTAATTCATTTTATTTACATATTGGTAAAAAAATAAAAAATAAATTTACATATCAAAAAATTACATGAAAAGTTCTTCGAAATAAGAAGAAGTGTCAAGAATATTTTATTTTATCAAATAACCAATGAGAACGTAGAAATAAACAATAGTTCTCACGACTACTGAAAAAGCAAATGTGAGATATATTTTGGGATGGAAGGAATATAGCTTCCTCAAACATGAATCCTAATTTAAAAATTTCAAAAAAAAAAAACTAAATTCCCATGCCTATGAATAAACTTAACAAAAATTGACTCAACATGTTTTGACTCGGTACAAGATCCAAATATACTGAGTTTGGAACAAAAGTTTGGCAACCGAACTTGAAGATGACCAAAACAGAGAAAACCTGTTAAAAATGAGTCAACCTGGCCAACCCAACATGCTGACCAACCCGCTAAAGTAAAGGTTTTTCAAAATTGCTTTAATACGGTGAAATATAAATGATAAAATATTTTTTTTCCTTCTTACTCCGTTTTAGTTTATACACTTTTCTTTCTAAACGAGTTTTTAATGATATCTTATTGTTATTTCACTTTCTACAATAGTTTACATATTTAAATTATTTACATTATTGTTATAATATGGCTCTTTATATCATAAAAAATACCTTAAAATTAAATATAACCTTTTTTGATAATAATTTGAGGTTTTGTTATTTTTTTACTCTAAAATACAAGTTATAGTGTGAATTTAAGTATTCAAAACCTAAAACTCATAACCTGTTTTGTTTTTTAAATTTAAGATATCTATTTTTTATATTTTATAGAATTTTTTATTCTCTCCAATTAGTTTATTTGTTCCAATTTTGATTAAAGGGCTAATAACATAGCTATCCCCCAAAATTTACAAAAGAGACACCAAAACCTCCTAAATTTTTAAAAATAAAATTAGCAAAATTAAAATTGACATATACTCATTCCGTATCAACTTAAAAAATATAAATTATAATTTTTGTGACTTAAAAAAATGAAGAATATGAAGATGAAAAAATATGGAATAAAATAGAAAGGTAGTTTTTTTTATTAAGAAATCACCCTAAATCGAAGTAAAATATAGAGAAAATATCAAAATATGATCTACATGTTTTTCTTTCAAAATAGGAGTTTCCATTGTGATAATGTGACACTATTTATACACATTTCACAATACTTTTTAATAATTTATATGGTCATCATTGATAATATAAATGTATTTTAACTCCTATTTTGGAAATCAAAACATAGAACTTATATTTTGATATAATTTCAATGTTTTACTCCTACTTTAGTCTTTTTTCATTTTTTCTTTCTTTTTCATTGCCATTTTAATTAAAAGGTAGTTTTTAAGTTTTTTATTCCGTTTTTGTCTATAGTGTAATCGAATAATCGAATAATTATATTAAAAGACCATAAATTTGGATAGGAAAAGCTATAAAGAAAAAAAATGCTTAAATCTCAAAGGGGAGTACTTATTTTTGGTTATGACATATGAATGCTCGAAAGGATAAATTTTTCAAAAAAGAATTTACCAATATATTACTAAAATATGGTAAGTTTTCTAATGCCGTATTATATATTTTAATTTTCCAATATAGTATTACTTTTCAATATCCACTTATCATTGTTCAAGTAAAATGTCAACTATCACTGGACATTGTTCAAAGTAAATATCCACTGCCACTAGACATTGTTCCTACTACTGGGCATAGTTTAAGTACTATTTAGAAAATAAAAAATTTTAGGTACTACTTTGAGAAAAATATATGTTTTGGTACTATTTAGTGCAAATTTTAGTTTTTCAAATAATCAATTGTAAGTTTACCGTTAATATTTTCTGGGGAGGTTACCATGACATTGGTTTTAATCCGAATTAGGTACCTATGATGTTTGGTTTGTAAAACTGATGGTTCCTACACCCTAACTTCTAATAAAACACTCTCACTCCAACCCGGTCCAAACCCACCTCCACCACCTTCAGTTGAATTCTCTAAATTTAGTTAACTTTGAAATAAAAAAATTGATTCTAAAATCAACTTGAGAGATTCAATTGGATGGAGTAAGAAGTGGGGTTGGTCAAGCTGGGGTGGGGGTTTTATGGTTAAAGGAATAAGAATCATCAATTACGAACCGAACACTGTACTCTAGGTGTCCCAATTGGAGCCAATGTCACCACATCACATTGGCTTATGGAGTGATGTTTTTTAAATGTTATTTTTCATAGTTTATCTTCTATTACCAAATATTTGGTTATTTGTTTTATGGATATCTTTCGTGGGATAGCTCTTTTTCTAACCTCGTAATGATGTAAAACTGAAAACAAAAAATGTAAATTTACATTGATCTCAATTCCAACAATTGAGAACAAAATATAGAAAAAAAGCTTAATTTTAAAAGCTCAATTATAAAATATACTCTTATTAAAAATAATAATTTGACACATTGCCATAATCAAACACTCCTTCAAGGGCCTAGATTTTTACATGGGCAATGCTAGGGATACACCAACATGGGGTACCCCAAGTGTACACCAAGCCAACACAGACACACACAGACACCAAATGTCTGGGCAACACTGACACTTTGTGTCTGTGTTGGCTTGGTGTACACTTGGGGTATCTCATGTTGGTGTACCCCTAACTTAATTTTTTTTACATAGATCTAGGCCTATTACTTTTGCAAGACGGCGTGTTGGTCAGCTGATCAAACCATATCAATCAAACCGGTCAAAAATGGCGAGAAGAGGCCTTTGGGGGGTGGGTTCAAAGTAGAGAGAAAGACCAAACTAGGACTAAAACATTGAAAATATACCAAAATAGGACTTTCATGTTTTTATTCTCGAAATAGGACTTACATTACCGAACATGGTCATATACATTACCAAAAAAGTTTAGTAATTTGCACATGTACACTGCCACATTACCATAGTACAAAGTCACATTACCACAGTGCAAATTCTTATTCCGGGAAAAAAAACATGAAAATCCTATTTTGGTACTTTCTCTATATTTTAATTCTATTTAGGATGATTTCTATTCAAAGTACAGATTAGTTTGAGATGCCAAATTGCCGTGTGAAAATTATATTTAATGCTGCAATATTATTGTTAATTAATTAATGCTGTATTGTTTTAGTCATGATGGATATTGATGTTTTGACTATTACGCTGTACCCAAAGTCAAAAAACAAACCTAAATAACCTAAACAAAGTCCAAGGCCTATCTGGACTTATGTATTTCTTGTATTACAACCAAACACTAGATTTGTTAATTTAATTTTTAGCACCACCAAACCAAAACCTAAAGCAATGCAAATAGGCAGTTAGGTTATTGATTAGAGACAAGCTGGACCACGCGTTACCCTTTCAGCCATACATCAATGTTTAATGTACTTCGTAGAAAATAATTTTTGGATAAAACTCTAGGTTTAAGAAGTTTCCCAAATATCCTAAACAACACTAGTACAAAGACTACGAATGAAAAGAACAAAAGTAGAAAACAAAAGAATGCTAACCTATACTCCGTATAATTTAATAATTTATGCTTCCTTCGTTCCACAAAACTCTTCCTCTTTCGTTTTTTTGCTTTCCACAAAACACTTCCATTTTCTATTAAAAAACCACTTTTACCCCTACTTTTTTATACCTTACCTATCACAGCATACTTTTTCATTAATAACCAAACTATTACATCTTACTTTTTCCCATCACATCAGGGGCAAAATTGGAAAGTCAACCAAAATTACACTTTCCTTATTTATCCCTAAAGTCAAAACCGGAAGGGTTTTGTGGAACGGTGGAAGTATTAGTTAGACTCTTAGAAAAACAAAAGAAAACAAAAGAATGCTAATCGATTATTGAAGCTGAGATAATCGAATAATGGATGAATAATCGATTATTACAATATTACATCTTCGTTCTGCTGAAGCATTTGAACTCAGTAGTACATAATCGAGTATTTCATCAAACATAATCGACTATCCATCCATTATTCGATTATCTCAGCTTCAATAATCGATTAGCTTCTTATTCCGCTGAAGCATTTGAAAGCAGTAGCAATTAATCAATTTTCTTATCTTCAAATAATCGACTATTATGTGCATGAACTAGAGAAACTTTTTAGAAAACTTATTTTTGAAATATTAAATCATATTCTTGTTATCAAACAAATATTATCAATATGGAAATGATTTCTAGAAATAACATACCCAATAACCTTATATGATGCATGACGGGAAGCTAAAGTGTTAATACTCGATGCTAGGCCGCTAATTGTTATTGAATATTATAATGATTATTATTATGGATGATTATGATGAATTGATGATTAAATATTGATGAACCTACTGATTAAAATGATTGTTGTGAATGATTGAACCATGATTTAAAATGACGGTATTGATGATTATGAAATGATTTATATTGTAAAGGATATTTAGAAGAACTCTAAGATATATCCATGTTGACATTGGTTTCTAATACTATCTAGAAGACCTCTAAGATAGATTAGAAATAGGCATTGCGGGTAATACTATGAATATTCGGTGGCCTGGGTAAAAAACGTACATACGGGATCTACAAATCAAACTAGAAGATCACTCGTTTGGGGATACCACCCAACCCGACAATGAGTATTCTGTTGTTCGGTTATTGTGTACCTTAAGTTAAGATTAGTTTAAGAGTTGGAAAATCTTTTGAAAACTTGTACCTTAAACTAGATTCGCTTAAGAGTTGGATAGCAGTACCTTAAAGTAGAATTAGTTTAAGAGTTGGTAAACATTAAAAGAATTGGTCTTAGACTAAGAATAGTTTAAGGATATTGTTGAAAAATGTTGAAAATGAATGAGTGTTGAATATTGATTATTGAATGACTGAACTGAATGTTATGTGCATGATATCAAATGAATTGATTATGAATTTAAATTTAGTTTATATGGATGTTCGATGGATTCGATATGCTTACCCAGCTTTACCGCTGAGTGTGTAGTATGTTTTATTTGCTACACGCAGGTAAACAAAAAGAATGAAGTGACTGTTCCTAGCTGCAGACGGGGCGAGATGGTCAAGGTGGATGTGTGAAATTAATTACTGTTTAAAAGAGACATAAATTTATTATGTTTGTAATTGTTATTTATTAAGCTTCTGCAAACTCTAAATACTCCTTATTATTCTAAATAATTTACTATGGAATAAAGTCTTAAAATGTTTGAAATATTTTTGAATGTTTTACGAATACCAAGTTTATACTTTAGTCCGAAAGGGCTGCAGACTTGGACGGATTAGGGTGTACCACTCAGCAGTTTCCATGAGCGTGTAGTTTTCTTTGTTGTGTGACCGTGTGCATGTAATTGTAACTATGGAGTCAAATCAGGAGCACACTAAACCGGGATAGTGACGGGATTATGCAGGACTGTTATTAGTATTTTAAGTATTTGAGATTTATACCCATAGTTGTAAACGTGTGAATTTTATTAAGCTTCTGCAATGTTGTAACAATTATTTTTATCATGTTTCGAGAAAAGTATGTTTTAAATGATTTTATGCTATCATAAATATTACATTTTTAAAATATGATATGTTACTTTACCAGATTGATATTGCTTCGGCTAGCTAATCCACATGAACCAGGTTATGTGGATCAGAGTGTTGCAAATTTATCACGATTAAGGGCTCTTTTTCTTGTCTCAGTCTAGGCCCTTAAATTATCAAGACTAGCAATGATCCTTCGTGTGGATAAAAGTGAAATTTGCTTCAAGTAGCACCAAAATTTAACATTTTCCCCAAATGTCACCGAACAAGTTTTTTTCTGAAACTGACATTAAAGTAATTAATTATTAATTATATCCATTTATTAAAACACCCTTGTATCTTAATTACTTTGTGCTCCGTATAATAAATGAATATACTTTTTTCTCCCTTTGATCGATTTTTTCTTTCCTTAATTCGTCTTCTTATATTTTCTTTTTGATAGACATTGTAAAATTTTTAGATATTGTTTACTGTACAGACATGGAACGTCGTAAGAATTATGGACTTTTACTTAATGATCGGGGACATTGATGGCTAATGCAGTGGATATTTATAATTGCGATAACACTTTTTTTAACTGACAATGTCTTAGCAATGGACATGTTGACTTTAACAACAATATTGTCAAGGAACCAATTCAACCAAAAGCCCAAGCTTGTGGTTGTGGTCCAGGAACAATTATTTATATTCTAACACGCCCCTCACGTGCAGACATAGTCTTTTTCAAGCCTTGCACGAGAACTCTTAATTTTTTTAAATTGGGTGGAGCTGAGTTTTGAACCCGTGACCTCTTAGTCAGCGAGGCTCCGATACCATGTCAAGGAACCAATTCAACCAAAAGTTCAAACTTGTAATTGTAGTCCAAGAACAGTTTTTTACATTCTAACGAATTTTGGACATAATTAGAGTGAAATTATGGATGTCATTAAATTATGCATAATGAACATTAACAGAGTGGCGGCGGGACATTAAAATCAACATTTTGTGATCAGCGACCGACGAAGGACGATAAGACGTGATGAGACAGTAAATATAAAATCATATAAAGAGTATTTTAGTACATTCGAATTAATAATTAATTATTAATTAATTAATTAGATACTAGTTATAGAAATTAAACCTAGTGGTGCTATATAGAAAAATGTACTATATTTTAATATTATTTAAGTAAATTTTTATAGATAAAAAATGTCATCTCTCTTAGAGTGCATGAGTACACGCCCTTAATTTTTATTACCCCAAAGTTTCGGTCAATTAGTACTCATTACCCTCCTCTCCTTCAACAAAGAACAAAATATTACTCGTAGTACTCCACAACACTAGAGTGTAAAAGGAAGTTAAAAATACTCTAACAACGTCAAAAGGACAAGTAAAAAGGAATAGGCAAGAGAAAGTAAAAAATGCTTAAAGTCTAGATGAAAATAGAAATTTTGATGTAACAAATAAATGGGAATAATTTAAAACAATAGACTTAGGGGGGGGAAAAGGTTGAATTAGACCAACATTAAAGCCATTTTCACATTGCAAGTAATAATTTAGTTTTGCATTATTTCAACGTTTTGCTCGCACGACCTCTATAAACTACACTGTACATATCTCTCTACCCCCTTCTGTCTTCATCATTTGGACCCCCCCTTATTAAAAATCTCTATCTATATTTTTATCTTTCCCCATTTCTCCTCTTCAATTTCTCTCCTTCCAATCTCGATCCAGCTCCATGGACGCCAGATTCACCAAGAACCGCGATTTCGACTCCGAGAACTCGCCGGAGAACAGCGGCGGCTCCCCGGTGTCCGCCGTGCTCCCCGACGACTCCGACGCCAGAGCCGCCGTCACTTCTTCTAAACCAAGGTTGGCTACAGATTACGCATCCCCCCAGACTTCCCTTTTAACTAATTTGATCGATTTTTGCGGGTTCTTAATTCGAATTTGTCGGGTAATTATATTTGTTAATTGCTCTGTTTTTTTAGTAAACGTCGTGCCGTCCAGAAAAGGGTAGTGTCGGTGCCGATCACCGACTCTGAAGGATCCAAGATCAAGAACGAGATCAGTTTCCCACCGTCCGATTCTTGGGCTTGGAGGAAATATGGTCAAAAACCCATCAAAGGCTCTCCTTATCCTAGGTACAATTACAAGCTTGAGTTTTTTGTTGAATTTGTTTATTTGTCATGGTATCAAAATCTTGAGTTCATGGTTGAGTTTATTTTTTTGGCACTATGAAATCTTGATTTTTTTTTTGTGCTAAAATGAAATCTTGATTGATTAAAGGAATGATTTTGAAGTGTATGTTCTAAAGATCTTTGGACAATCCTAACTGCAGAGGATATTACAGATGCAGCAGCTCAAAAGGTTGTCCAGCTAAAAAACAAGTGGAGAGGAGCCGTGTGGACCCACAAATGCTGGTGGTGACATACTCTTGCGAGCACAACCACTCCTGGCCCGCCACCACCGCCGCTGCAAGAATCCATCGGACCAGTGCAGCGGCGGTGGCCGGGGCCGCGACGCCAAAGACCTCGTCGAGGTCGAATAATAAGGACGGGAGGAAAGAGGCGACTGCGGTCGTTTCCGACTCCGAGGACGGGAGGAAAGAGGCGAGCGATCCGGACCTCTCCCCCCGGCCCGTAGAAGCGGAATCGGACGACCGCGGTGCCCAGTTTTCCTCCCATCTGGGCGGCGGAGGCGGTGTGGAGGAGTTTGGGTGGTTTTCGAACTTCGACCAGACTGCCTCCGCCGTGGCGGAGGAGGAGTGTTCTGTTTTGGCGGAGGCCAAACTGGTCGCTTGCACGGACGAGGACATGCCGTCGTTGATATTTCCGGCGGGCGAGGAGGACGGGGAGGACGAGTCGCTGTTCGCCGATCTCGGGGAGTTGCCGGAGTGCTCGAGGGAGTTTGGGCTTGGGATGATGGAGAGAGATGAGTCTCGCCGCCGGCAGAGTTTGCCGCCGTGGTGTGGGACGGCGTGATGGCTTGACAAGTGGAGAGATTGTGGAGAATTTTATATACAGCCGTGTATTCTTTCAACTCTTTTTTAGGCCTTTAAATCATAGAAAACAAAATGAATGCATTATATTATACCGTACTCTGTTGTCTTCATACAATCACAGGTTGATAGAAAAAATCAAGAAATAATAATAAAAATGATTGTTTTTTTTTTTCCTTTTTTATTGAGGAAAGTTGAATTTTCAATAAAAAAAAAAAGATCAAGAATTACAAATTCAGAATGCCCAACATAGTAAACAAATGAAGAATCTCTTGGTCGAATGGGTTATTAACTTCCACATAACAACCAAGAAATATACCCAGGAGTAATAGAATTCAAAAGAGGACAAATTTGACAACAAACACAATAAAACAAGCCCAGATCGGATTTTTCGTGTAGGGAAACATGTGATCTTATAAAACTTAAGGGTAAAAGGGCGAAAATCTACATTCATAAAGGATTTGAAAGCCGAAAAGACACCATCACAACCAATAAGAAGGTAAAGATATCCATGGAGGATCATGCTTGAAGTATTCTAAGTGGCCATTTGAGGAATGAAAATAATTTTTCATGTTTGACCAAATATAGCAGAAAATTACTCGCGGGTGACGCGAGTTTTATCGAAATAACTTTCAGGTCCCTCTATTTTCAAAAAGACAATTGAGGTCCTTATATTTTGTTGTAATGACTGGGAAGAGACATTTCATCCAATACATCATCCGTAAGTGTTAATAAATGTATTTTTTTCCTATTTTTCCAATACCGTTTTTTCCTATTTTGCCATTACCTTGTTTTTTCTTTTTTTAAATTTTTTTTATTTCATTTGTTTTAATATAATACAAACAATTTTGAATTTTTATACGATTTTATAGAAGAAATTCTAAAATAACACTTTAAAAAATAGTAACAAAATGAAAGAAAAACAAAGAAATATAAAAAGGAGCGACCTAAGATTTATTACCTTAAAACATTTAGAAAAGAATAGGAAAAAAATACATTTATTATGTTTATAGATGAAATATTAGATTAAATGTCCCCTTCCAGTCATTACAACAAAATGTAAGGACCTCTGCTGTCTTCTCGAAAATAGAGGGACCTGAGAGTAGGGACGTAAATGAATCGAATATTTTTTGTTTGATTCGTGATTCGTATTCGTTTAAGGTGATTCGTATTCGTTTTTTTCAAATACGAATACGAATACGAATCTGAATAAATATTCGAATCTTTATCGAATACGAATATGAATCAAGGGTATTCGATTCGCGAGTTTGACAAATATATTCGGAATAATAATAATAATAATAGTAATATATATATATATATATATATATATGTATGTATGTATGTATGTATGTATGTATGTGTGTGTGTGTATATATATATATCAAATATGGTTATAAAATATTTAAAAATCTAAATGAACTAAATATTTTTAAACGAACCGAATATATTTAAACGAACCGAATATGTTTAATATGTTAAACGAACCGAATACGAATCTTAAAAAATATTCGAACCGAATTCGAATTCGAATTCGAATACCACTCCATCTTGACGAATATGAATATTTTTTATGAATATTTGATTCGGTTCGGTTCGTTTACAACCCTACCTGGCTGAGAGTTATTTCAACAAAACTCGCGTCACCCGTGAGTAATTTTCTGCAAATATAGTGTAAAAAAACCGAGGGAGAATCAAAGTCACATTTGGGATACCTCGAATTTAATTCGTCTAAGGAAACTTTCATTACTCTTTATAGAAAGGTATGATGAAACAATAAATTCAACTCACATATTAATATCTGACGGATATAATACTTATATAGAACTAAAAATAATTACTCTGGACAAATAAAGAAGCAAAAAAAACTATTTAATTATTTATTCTCAGTCCCAAACTCAAAATTCCACTTTATATAATTGACATCTCAAAACAAGTCTTAATTTAAATTTAGGCTTCCTTTAACACATCAAAATTACTATATAATACTCTTACTTTTTCCAAATACTAGCTTCTTCTATGCATACATCTCCATTTATTTCCTGACTTCATTAAACACAATACACTTTCGCACTATCATGTCAATGCCGTTTTAAGGACAAATTTTGAATGTCAAGCTCCTTTTAAAGTTTACCTTAATTTGTGTGAAGTCCAAGTGTGACTTTGGTTATGGGATGTAGGGAGTATATGTCAAATTAAAGTTTACCTTAATTTGTGTGAAATGAGCCACTGAAAATGCTAAGAGGTGAGTGATTTAGTGAAAAATCAGCCAAGATAAGAAGAGACATGTTTTACATGTACGGAATTGTCAATGGCTTCTTCTCTGATAGATAAAGTCATAATTAATCTCTAGTAATTAACATGCTTAATGTGTTCATGAAACACATTTTTTATGTAGATAGAATATCATTGCATAGCAATAGGGGACTAGTATACACACTGGTGGATTCTAGACTACGGGCGGGGTTGTAAATTATAGAGAAAAGCTTAATATATTAGCAATGGTGTACTTAGGATCCGATCTGATCCACTTCTCTGTTGAACATGAAGGTCTATTCATACAGTATAAGTAGTGGACTACAGCCTAACCAATCTAGGTTACATCATATAGCTTGGTTCATTAATTATGTTTGTCATATACTATGTTATGTCCCTTTCTCATCATAGTTGGGGATTACACCCATGGCAGGGGTGAACTGGCGCGTGGTTCAATTCCTAAGGACTTGACCATGGGGTGGGGCATGTGATGACCCTTGACATAATCCAAGCATAAGAGCAAATGAGTGTCGAGCTCATCACATGGCAGGCCACGTACGCCAACTCTGTGACTGGTGTGTTGATATATGGTCGACCATACCAAGCTCTCTCCCTAATATGTTGATGGCCAAACTCTCTTCGTGGTGTATTGATGGATGGTAATGGTTGACCATGCCAATTAAACTCTCTCGCTTGTGTGCTGATGGCCGACTATGTCAAACCTTCTATTCGGTGTGCAGATGGACAGCCTTGCTTAACTCTCTTCCTAGTGTGCTAAATTAAAAGCCGACCATCCATGCTAAACTCGACTATGAGCTTGGACCATTGCCTTCTCTTTTTAATTATTTGCTTATGAGCCTTGCAGAGTTCTTCCAAGCCCATACAATACGTGGTCTAGTTCACTCATTTGTTTTTTGCCTTTTTCATCTCTTTTCTCTTCATTTTCTTATCATCATTTTCTATCAATTTAAACACTAATTTATTTCTCTTTATTTTTTTCCCTCTCATTTTCTCTCCATCTAACAAAAAGGGTAAAAGTTCATTACTCAAAGTTTGGTTAACTTTAAACAAAGAATGGTAGAGACGGTAACAAGTCAGGTTTTGGTAGGGTGGAGCTTCACCATCATCCATTCACTAAGCATACATCAATCACTTGATTCATCCATCATCCGTTACTGTTAGAATATAAATAACTATTCCTGGGCCACAACCACAAGTTTGAGCTTTTGGTTGAATTAGTTTCTTGACATGGTATCAGAGCCTCGTTGACTAAGAGGTCATGGGTTCGAAACTCAGCGCCACCCAATTTAAAAAAAATTAAGGTTTTGGTTTCTTGACAGTTGTGGCCCAGGAATAGTTATTTATATTCTAACAGTTACATACATTGTCAATGTTCACTACATCAATTCACCAACCACTCGAGAGTGGATTAAACATGTAATAATTGTTTTTGGTAATCAATGTCATTAAAATGTAGAACAAAAAAAGCTAACTATAAAGCATAGAACATAGGTAATATTTTAGGAAAAGGAGAGTTTAATTATGACAAGATGAAAAAATAAACTTTTAAAGTTCAAAACCTAGGGCAAAATCCATACACATGCTGGGAACCTTCCAAACGTTGCAATGGTATATCATAAATAAATGGAACATAGGGCTTCCTTATAATAAATCCGACCCAGCTATAACTTGTAACAAAGTTTCCTAACAAAGCTAATGCTTCATAATTTTTTAAATTAATATGATTGGATCGAGTGATGGGTCGGGTGGCGGGTGAAAAGAATCTCCACCCACATTTGACCCAGTCCATCATCAATTCATCGATCATCTTTTTTTTTGAATTTTCATCCATTAATTAGATTTAGATTGGACAGTTCGATTGTTCAATGATCGAGTTGGCTAGAAATTACCATCTATAAAGAATGGTGTGATTTATATTACTGAGTTTTTATTACTTTTATGTGTAAGACTAAGTGTAGCGCCTTACGAAGAAGTGTTCACTACTACAAAAAGGCTTTTAAATCGGTCATTTTTACTTTTTAAAATCGGTTGCTTTTTTAAATCGGTTGGAAATCGATGCAAATATTTGTGATTCAATTGCTGAGTTTACTTTTTGCATCGCTTGTCAATTGATTCAAAAGCCCCTCCAGACGTGGCACCATTTCTGGGAAGGAGCTTTTGCATGGGTTCTTAGCTAACAACCGGTTCAAAAGCCCCTTCCCAGAAATAACGCCAATTCTGGGAAAGGACTTTTGAATCGGTTGTTAGCTAATAACCGATGCAAGAAGCCCCTAACTGATTCTTGAAATGTGACCCTCACTAGTACATGTATCTCATTTTCTTTGATCTATCAAAATTTCGGCAGCATTTCCCAATGATTCTCCAAGTGCACGATGTAATGTAGTTACATATGCACCTGAAGAACACATTTAGGAAACGTCAAACCAAAAAACTGATTGAACAAAAAAAGAAATACACTCACTACTTAAGTGATAGAAACATTTCAAGAACAACACCAAACTGAGAGTTATTTAAAATTTACTCCTAATAAATAAATTTAAACGGGTATCTAGGTAGGTCAATATATGTTATTTCTATATTATAACATCTCAGATCATGTAGAATTAAAAAAAGTAAATAAACAATATATATTTCAAACGCAATCTATATCACAATGTCACATTTCAACTAAAACATAAACACAAAAGCAATTCAATATATATTAATTAAAGAAAATACATTGAAATAAATTTAAAATTATACTTACCACTTGGAGAAAAAAATATGCACCTAATACAAAAATGTATAAATAAATAATAGTCTAATTAACGATTTAAAATGAAAAATTAAAAACATACCTTAAAAATG